GACTTCAGCACCACATCTTATTAATCAAAAGTAAAACAAGACTTCAAATTTCAGCACCTCTTAAAAAACAAACGTCACCTTATTCACTTAGGGTTTGCTTGTTTTTTATAAAAAAAAAAATCTTATTAGCCTCTTATGTTCGATTCTTTAAGAGGTAAGGTCATTCAGACTGTTTGTTTTTTCCAATTTTTCAGAGGCACTTATGTCTTATTGTCCTCTTATCTGGTAAGAGATAAACCAACCACTTATTTGCCTCTTATTGTTTTTCAAACTCTCAACAACGGCATTTCTATATTTTTTTAAATGACTGTTTTCTCTTGTTTTTAACAGAAAAAATAACATAAGTTACGTTGAGGGACCAAATAGGCTGTAACCGAACCAAACATTTAACGAACCATTCTTGAACTGTTTGGTAGGAACGAACATAAACAAGAGTCTCGTTCATTTATTTCTATTCGTGAATGTTTGTTCCTTTACGTTCGTTTATATTCGTTTATGTCCGTTTATATATTAAATTTAATATATAATCTTTTATTTATTTAGTTTGAATTCAAATAATATTTATTTAAATTTTAACTTTTTAGAATTTATTTAGATTTAAATTTATTATCATTTTGTCTTATTTGAAATCTTTACATTTTCACTTTCCCCCCAAACCCTAGCCTGTAGATGTTCGTTTAGACCTGTTCGTTTAACATGTTAACGAACGAACATGAACGAACATAAACGAACATGAACACTCCTGATTTCTAAACGAATTAATACGAACACAAAGATTTTTCGTTCGTTTACCATTTGTGTTCGTTCGTTTTTTCGTGTTCATTCGGTTTGTTTACAGCCCTATGACCAAACCAAGAAAATTTGCATAGGTAAAGGTTTATCTTGTAGCAAATAAAGAGAAAGAGCCAAATTCGTAAGAAATCACAAACCACAAGACCAATTTTCCAATATCACAAACTATAGGGACCAATTCCACAATTTACTCTTAAAATCAAAGTATTTACATGACAAAAGTGGGATTACATAAAAACCCGCCAACAAAATCCAAATTTAAAGTCAATTTAAACCGAATCCAACCAGATGAACCTAATGCCCCTCTTATATATTAGTTATTTTCATACGTGTGTCGTAATTTCATCTGTAATTTACTTCCTATTTGCATGATACTTTAACATTCTTTTTATTGTTAGTCTCGTTTTTTGTTTAATCCTCATGTAACATAAAAGGTTAATCCACTGGTTTTATTTACTAATGGTTGTACAAATGTCCTAATACAATGCTACTTTTACGTCACAATCCAACCAAGTATCACCCAAAAGTTATTGGGGAATATGAGCTCAAATTAAAACTTCATAAATCTTGCAAGATATTTGATGCGTTTATATATAGCCGTGAGTCTGCACGTGATGGGATTATGATGCTTTTAAGATGTGCGAAACATGAAGTTTCGAGATTTTAGACATTATCGAGGGGCGTTTGACGAATTTTTTCATCCAGAAAAGGGAAAAAAAAACAGTTTTATTATGGGTTTGTAGGGTAGACAAATTGTAAAATTGAAAACTTGTGGGGGCAAAATGAGAATATCTAAAAAGTCTGGGTGGTTTTTGGTAATTTTGAAAGCGGCTAGATCAAAAAATTCCATTGCCGGGAATCGAACCCGGGTCTCCTGGGTGAAAGCCAGATATCCTAACCGCTGGACGACAATGGAAGGTTGTGTACGATTATCAAGATTATTTTTGTAATGTAAATTCTAATGTGCAATATAGAGGGCATCTTGATTTTAATATTTTATTTTGTTTTTTATCTCAGTCAATGTTATAATATGATCTTATGTGATTTTGAAAAAACGATGATGTTTTTATTTTTTAATAAAATATATATTTTTAAAGATATCATAAAATTTTAACAAAAATATATCGATATTAATATCAAATTAATTATTTAAAATTCCTCATTTTTTGTGTAATTTTTAATTCAATTTTTTGTTATAATTTAATTTAGGTTCAATAACGAAGTAATTTATATTTGGTTTAATAATATAATTTTCTTATAAAGATGATAATTAATTATTTTGTTAGGATTCAATGATTATCCTAATTATATTTTAGATATTTTATATTCTAAAATGAGATGTTTATCCTCTATTTGATTATGTTTAACCACAATTAGTTACAATGAATTCAAACATGGAGCTTTAATAAGTTGTACTTGTGCATAATTTACTTGTAATCTTGAATTTTAAGTAATATGCATCAATATACGGTACTTCATGCATAAAAGTTAGTTTTTAAGAGTTTTTTGTCAAATGCTTTATAATATCGTATAGATGTTACAAGTGTCATTGAATTGTTAAAACTCTTAGGGCCCATTTACCAAACGCTTACATGGGTAAGAGCTTACTAAGTCACATTACCTTACCAGATGAATATGGTAAGGGTCAAGAATCTTACCCGGTAAGAACGAGACAATGACAACAGCCTTACCCAGTAAGTGAGGGTGATGATTCTTACCACGTTAAGCGCTTACCGGGTAAATTGTTGCATACAATGTCGTTTTTATGAACTAAAATCTTACCCAGTAAGTAAATGATAGTGCTGAATTTTACCGATAAATGCTTACCGGTTAAGTGTTTGGTAAACGACCCCTTATTTGCAGGAGGTGTCTATAAGTTTATATGTTTTTCAATCTTAAAAATAGTTGAAAAACATGATTGAACTCAACAACATAACTATTGTTATATTTATATAAACAAGTATAAAATGTATGTAAAAACCATATAAATAAGAAAAACCCTTCGAATATACATGAAATATAAACCACAAGGGTGGTGCCTGATTGGTTTGAGCTTGGCTCCAAAGGTCAAAAGTCCCAGGAGGTTTCAAGTTCAAATCCAAGAAGGAACAAAAATCCCATTATGGCCACAGAGGTTCAAATGCGGCGACTTCGGGCTAACTGCAAAGCAGGTGGTTGCCCTGAAATTAGTCAGTTCGTAAAGCGGGTTGGATTTCAGGTTAATCATATATATATATATATATATATATATATATATATATTGTAAATTTTTTTGTGTCTTCAATAAAATAAAACGTGTTTATTTTAGAACCTTTAGAAAATTTGACATTTATAAATTAAGGAAAAGAAGAATTTGATATAAATAGGGAAAATTGCACCAAAATGGAACCAACTTTCACCTGATTTTTATTTTGGGGAACCAACTTTCAAAATCGTCATTTTGGGGAACCAACTTTCACCTGATTCCTATTTTGGGGAACCAACTTTCAAAATCGTCATTTTGGGGAACCAACTTTCACTTGATTTTTATTTTGGGAAACCAACTTTCACCTGATTCCTATTTTGGGGAACCAACTTTCAAAATCGYCATTTTGGGGAACCAACTTGCATTTGATTCCTATTTTGGGAAACCAACTTGCAAAATAATTATAGAAAAATAACTAAAATTCATTTCTTTTCAAAAATTAATGCAATAAAATCTATTTTTCATTTCAAAAATCTCGTTTTTTTAAATTCAGATATCAAATTGAAGATTTTCGAAAAAAATCCAAATTACCACGATAAAAGTTGTTTTTTTCTAATGCAATAAAAAAATCAATTTAATAGAAAAAAATTAATTGATGCAATAAAAAATAAATATTAAATATCACATTCAAGATTTTTATATCTAACCAATCTGTGTCAATATTAAAGTTTAAATCAAATTTGGCAAATCCAATCAAAAGTTTGATAGAGACCCTTAAATTATCTGTTACCTGTTTAACAGATCAATCAGACCCTTAAATAAACAAAAAGTTCGATAGAGACCCCTAAATGACGATTTTAAAAGTTGGTTCCCCAATATAGAAATCAGGTGAAAGTTGGTTCCATTTTGGTGTAATTTTCCCATTTTTCTATAATTATTTTTCAAGTTGGTTCCCCAAAATAGGAATTAGGTGCAAGTTRGTTCCCCAAAATGACGATTTTGAAAGTTGGTTCCCCAAAATAGGAATCAGGTAAAAGTTGGTTCCCCAAAATGACGATTTTGAAAGTTCGTTCCCCAAAATAGGAATCAGGTGAAAGTTGGTTCCCCAAAATGACGATTTTGAAAGTTCGTTCCCCAAAATAGGAATCATGTGAAAGTTGGTTTCATTTTGGTGCAATTTTCTCATATAAATAAATAAAGTTTAAAGATGGTAATTAAAGTTGCAGACTACTTCAAATTTTATTTTTTAAAGTTCGAGGGGGAGCCAGTGCATCCTCTGGCTCCGCCCTTGCATCCAAGTTTGTAAATGCATGTTATAGGATTTATAAAAAGATAACAGTTTCACTAATTTTAAGACAGTGCAGAAACGATAACCCAAAGCAACATGAGATTCGTTGGATATCATGATTTGGTTCGTCAAAAAGTGGTGTATGGATGGTGGGTTTGGCCTCTTTTGGCTGATTTGTGTTTTATGATTTGGTTGTTTATTGTCTGGTTTTAATCTGATGGTGTTATTATAAAAAAAGAAGTGGTGTACAGAAACTGTCCCTTGCTTGTTTCTTTTATTTTTTTGTTAGGGGTCTTGATGAAAACTATCTATTAATTGAGATAAATGTAAAATCTCCATACATCTTTACCCCTAAACCATATCATTGCATTGGATTTGTTATGATAGTTAGAATTGGTTTCAAATTGCCTTAAGAAAGAGTACAATACCCAAAGCACAAAGTACGAGTGTACGACCATACAAAATCAAAATTATATATGCACGAAACATGTGTTCGTAACCATAGTTCCAGATACAAATGACAAACAAACCCAACCAAAACACCGAAACTCAAAGAATTCAAACTTCATCGGACGATGGAAAAAACAGCCGAAAAGCAACTAAAATTTGAAGAACGAAAGTCAAAGAATCAAAACAAAATGGGAAGTAATTTCGGGATTTTGAAGTGAAAAGGCAACCGGGAAAAACACGAATAGAGAAAATGGATGAAACTCACATGCATATACTTTTGACCGGTTAGCCTCCAGAGTGGGAGACTGGGGTGGTAAGGAATTGGCCATCCTTGTAAGTGTGTATGTACTGCTGTGGCAAAGCATGTTCCACCTGCAACAAAACATCACACAATTTTTGTGAACACTGGACATAGATTTAGATGTCGAAAGTACGACCGTAGAAGGAAGAGCAATTGCATACCAGATCAGCAGCAGGATCATCGCCAGGTACCATCACGTTGACTTCACTTGCCTTGGCGGTTGTTATAGAAGACTCGAGAGAATATTGGCTCAAGTATAATTGGCATCCTGCCGTGTTGTCTATTGAAATAGTAGGGGCCACACCCTATGATCACAACCATCGAAAAAATGAGAACATAAAAGATCCATCGAGGATAGAAGAAAGGTTCCAACATATATCGAAGAGAATAGCTCCGAGTCTAGCCAATGTAAATCTGTGAAACTCTAAAACGCCTCCTCTGACGAAGGCTAGATGGGCATAAATTGTCCCCAAGTGTCAAGATGGGGCTAGAAAGGTACATATAGTCCTAGAGTGGTACACATTGGCTCTCATGTCATACGAGAATGCGTGGAATTCCATCATGTTAAGAAAAATTCCATCATGTTAAGAAAAATTCCATCATATATTAAGGAAAATAAGTCAAATTACCAAGATGGGATTCTAACATTAGCTCAAATAACAGTTGCGCTTGACCGACTATGACATTATAGACGTTTGATGATATAGCAGGATAAGATTGGTCAAACGTAAAAGTTCGAAAAGGACACAAGTACGATGTGATACCTGGCATTGCACCTCAACGCTGCTACAATTGACAATTTCAAAGGCAGCAACAACATCCTGTTTTCAGAGTTCTAAGAGTCAGCCGTCATATATCATTGCCACCCATGTTGCAAATTTACAGAAATCGCAGATTATTCACTGACCATGAATACAACACCCATTTTTGTGCATTTGTCAACGGTTATGTTGTTAACTTTCCCTGCACAAAGTGAATGAATCGCTTAAACATGAAATATAGTCAAGAAGAACATAGATTTTATAGATTCACAGCAATGATGGAAATGGTCTACACACTCTGTTATTAAAGAGGGAGGGAGAGATAGAGAGATGGAATGTATTACCATGGATCTGTAGAACTGAATCTTTGCATCCAAAAATATATACTGTCTGCCTTGGATCACACTCATCAATCACCAGATCCTTCGAGCCAATTTGATTCTCAACAACCCATCTGCACATATCATGTAAAAGGGTTTACATCCACAATTAAGAACCTGATTTCAGTTTCTACTACGTAGCATACAGTATACTTACTTGCGACCCATTACAAGCTCAAGCTTTGGAGGTCCCACTTTAGCAGCAGCTGGTGCACTCTTGCGGACTTGTTTTTCACCACTACTAACAAACCCGGCTCTATCTGCACGGTTTTTGGTCTTCATATCATCTGTAACTTTTCTTAATCCTGAGACATGAAACTGAGAGTCAATAACTCTGCAATGCACTTAGGAAAAGTATAGAACAAGCAAAGACGTAAAAGGAAAGCTACCAGCAGTAACTGGCTTTGAACTAATTTCCTGAAAAACAGCGGCCATTCCTTTCTTTGGTTGGGATGAAGATGATGTAGAAGATCCTGAGCTCGACAGTGATGCTGGTGGAGGCCCTGGAGGAGCAGGAGCCCCTGGTTTAGAAGACGTGGCTACCGTGGCCCCTGTCGCACTCCATACAGGTCCCAAAGGATAATGAGTCTTCACGAAATCCCTTAACCCCGGTACATAAAGTTCCTTAAGAGCTTTTACCCATTCCACGTGATCTGGATCTTTATTTCTGTATTCTATAAGAACCTACAATCTCCAATGTCAATATACCAACAATGAGAAACTGGGATGACCCTGCAACATTTAACTAAATCTGCCACTCATGGCCTGATGCAAGTTGGAACGGCCACACAGAAAGTGAATGGATGGTCGGGTGGATAAAGATGAAATCTCAAAGGAATGTGTTTCCCTAAAAAAAAGATAAAGGTGCCTAAACCTTACTCAATATGCTGAGACATCTCTGGAGATAGCCCACAAAATCATAGCATGAACAACTACCATAGTAATGGAGATGGTGTATTATGCAAACAATAAAGCCATCTACAAAGCAACATAAAAATCAGCCGTTGATCTTCCCTAAACTTTGCAAAAGAAAAAAAAAAGGAGAAGAACAGTTTTTGCTGATAAATATTCACAACAACAAAAAGGTAGATAATATTCCTCTCACTTGCTTCTAGTCTCGTACAGAATTTGGTTTGACGACCACTTGAAAGCATCGTCTCAAGTATCAGCCCAGAAATTAATTTGCATGGACTCATAAACATGCCAAATAGAAACTAATATCAATAAGTCGAAAAGGTAGTCCCAAAAGCTATACTGCACTTAAATATTATTATCTTTATCTCAAGTATATCCCGTGGAGTATCACCTCGTTTGAAATAAAGAAACAAATTTTACTTTCCCATTTCTTCCCTTCAATCAATATTCACATTCAAGTATAATCTTAATAAACCAGGCCAACTTGACTAGATGATAGTGTGACATTTAAACATTAACAATCTATGTTATCCTTTTTCATATTCTTGTTGTGAGAATACGTGGAATCCCTAGATTAATCTCCAAAAGAGCCCTTAAGGAGATGAATGTTCCAACCTATATTGAGGAGAAGTGGTCCAAGTCTGGTCGGCGTGGGAACACTTGTGTCCAAATTTCTGAACTCATATATAGTGAATCTGAGTCATAATGCAATGAAAAGGAGAAGGAACTTGAGAAACGTCCTTCCTTAACAGATCTTAGGTACCTTGTTGCTGTAAAATTCAGCTGACTGCCAACATTCTTCCACATGTCCAATAGGCATGCTCATTCCTGGAAAGATGAGAACAAATAAATATTACCTTGATGGTAGAGTCATATCATCCAAGCCAAAACACAAAGTAATAAGAATAATTTCTCCTCACCGCAATTTTTCCCCGTATATGCAATCCATGCTAAAGCTGTTAGACTCTCAGAAGCAGCTCTTAAGTGGTTGAAGAAATCAGAACGCCGTCCTTCTGACATGCTATTTGCTTCAGTTAGCTTTTCGTTTAATGGCCTGAGAAATTCTGCCATTCCTCTCGCATCAGGTTTCTGCACCATTAATACATAAAACTTAAACACCACAACACCACCACCTATATAACTTAT